CTATAATCTGCACGGATAACTCACGTGCTATAGTATCAACATCTAGATCTGCACGGTTAACTCACGTGATGCACGGACAACTCATGTGCTGCATGGACAACTCACGTGCTGTAGTATCAATATCTGGATCCGCACAGACAACTCACGTGCTATAATAAGCTAATCTGGCCTGCTGTGGCGTGCATCCCGATCCCATAATTATCCTCACAATTAGGCCCTCGGACTCACTTTGTCATCGATCTCTCTAGTCCCTCGGGCTCACAATGTCATTAAACTAGCCCAAAATGATGATATGATGTATCAATAAATAACAGCAGAGACTGAGATATGATATGCAATGAATGAATATGACTGAGTATGAAATTACAGTTTAAACATATAATTCGACAGTAGAAATGACCTCAGTGAGTCACAATAATACCAACATTTACCTAAGCATGATTTCTAACATGAGTCACAACTCAGTTTCTCTAACACATAAAAATACATGGAAGAATACAAGTTAATTGACTAAATAGCTCTACGGAATCAACTGAGTCTCAATTTCTATGGTGCACGCCCACACGCCCGTCACTAGCACGTGCGCCACCTCCAAACAATTCACATAACACGTATAATCAGGGTTCATACCCTCAGCTCTAAGATTAGAGTTGTTACTTACCTCGAACAAGCTGAATCCAATGTCGAGCAAGCTAAACAACGCTCCGAAAATTCCATTCTGCGCGTATTAACTTCCGAACGGCTCGTCTTGAAACCCGACAAAAGTTACAAAATATGAACGCTCATTCAACCACAAGTCCAATCATACTAATTTTACCAAATTCCGACATCAACTCGACCCTCAAATCCTCAAATTAAACTAAGAGTGTTTTCTAAATTTTTCATCTTAATTCACTAATTAAACATTAAAAACAACCATGAATTCGGAAAATTTGACCAATATTGAGTTAAGAATACTTACCCCGATATTTTTCTTAAAAATCTCCCGAAAACCGCCTCTTTCCGAGTTCCAATTCGTCAAAAATGGAAAATAAACAAACCCTCGATAATAAATTTTTTTTGCCCAGCTGTTCTGCCTCGTTTTGTGTGATAAAAAATCTCTAAACTCTCTTTTGATGCCTCCAATAGATTCCTTGTGAAATTTCAGTCAAGTTAGGCTTTTGAATCACCTAATTTGGCTTTAAAATGAGGGAGATGATGATGTTTTGAAGATTTAAATGAAGTCTGACAATTTAAGGGATAAAAAATGACATTTTCGTAATTATTTTACACCAGAAAATCAGCAACGAAAATATTTTCGTTTTAGCACCCAAAACTCATTCGGAACCTCCCAGACACAAACCACATATGCGTTTCAATCATAAAACACGCTACGAACCTGCTCGCGCACTTAAAATACTGAAAAGAGGTCATCTTGACCCGATATTGACCATGGTCAAACTCCAAATCTTTAACTTAACTAGTTTCTCAACCAGTGATCCAAAACACACTCGAGCCCCTCGGGACCCCATTCAATCATACCAACAAGTCTTAAAATACGATACGAACTTAGTCGAAATCTCAAATCACATCAAACAACGCTAAAATCACGAGTCGTACCCCAGTTCAAGCTTAACGAAACTAAGAAATTCCAACTTCTACATTCGATGCCGAAACCTATCAAATCAAGTCCGATTGATCTAAAATTTTGCACACAAGTCATAAATGACATAAACGACCTATAAAAATTTTTAAAATTGGATTCCGACCCTGATATCAAAAAGTCAACTCCCCGGTCAAACTTTCAAACTTAAATTTCTATTTTAGCCATTTCAAGCCTAATTTAACTACGAACTTCCAAATAATTTTCCGAATATGCTCCTAAGTCCAAAATCACCATACGGAGCTATTGAAATTATCAAAACTCCGTTCCGAGGTCAAATTCACAAAAGTCAAACTTTGTCAACTCTTCCAACTTAAAGCTTCCTAGTTGAGAATCATTCTTCCAAATCAATTCCGAATAACCTGAAAACCAAAACCGATGATTCACATAAGTCATAATATATCATACGGAGTTACTCATGCCCTCAAACTACCGAGCGAAGTGCAAATGCTCAAAACGACCGATCGAGTCGTTACACAACCGAAGAGGTGCAACTCTTCCAGATGACCTTTCGCGTAAAACGACTATAACAAAAACGGCTATTTACATAAAATAAAACGATAAAATAAAATCGGAGGGAAACTCAAATTATGTTATTTGATTTGGATTAAAATATTGATATAATTTTAATATTTAACAAATAAATTTGGTCAAAAAATTAACAATCAATCAGACCAAATCCAAAGCTAAGCAAGCGATAATGACGGTGTGATCCTTGACTTCTTCTCAACTCTTTAAAAACTAGAAGAAGTGCAACTTTATATATACCTAACAAATAAGATTTTCTCCTCCAATATGAGACAATGTTTCTTTGCAAACGAGGGAAAATCAAAATTTCTATTTTTTACTGATTTGCCATTGACATGATTTTTGAACTAAAAAATCCAACAGGTTTTACTTTATCGATCTAGGTTAGAGTCCTTTCTCCTTGGCAATTGTACGGGTGACATTTACACGAATGTACGTTTTAATAGTTTTCAGGAATTTTAATTGTATATTAACTATAATATATTGGAAAGTAGTCAATGGTCTCTAACTGATCGAACTGTTGTTGTTTGTTGATTTGAAATCACTGCTTAGCAGAATTCGAACTCATTAATTAATACTTTTATCTGAATTCGCCACTCATTTCATTAAAAAAAAGTATAACAAAAGTTAGAAAATGAAAACGTACTTTGGCCTAACCTCCTTCTAAACTCATTTAGCCTTTAGCTTGCGTGCGTTTGTTGCATCTGACTTATTGCAGATAAAAAGATACTGAGCACATGTGCGCTTTTAAAACAGAAAACAATATTTGGTCAATTATAATTTATACATTACTAATTTTCACATAACTTAAGTACTGCTTAGATTATTTTATTCCTTAATTGGTATTTTTGATTATGAATATTAATCTTAACAACCTCTCTGACATTGCTAGAGAAAATAATTTTTGATGTGCTGAAGTTAATATTTTATTGTGAGATTACACTGAGTCTATTATTATTGTTGTTGAAGTTGGTATTTTGCCGGAAGAACTTTTTAAATTCTTTAACATTGTCAAAGATAATGTCACCGTTTTCTAGTTAGCTAAACAGGAAGTAGTACGTTATCAGTAACATTAAGTAAGAAAGCTCATGACCATAAATATTAGAAAGTCTTATTTGGGTTCCACTATTCTCAATGTGCACAATAATAAAGATGTACGAACGGGGAGGAAGGAACGCGTTGCCTAATATTTTTTGTAGAGTGGAAATAATTAGGTGTGGGGATACCATTGATATTTATGGGATAGCAGGAGCTAGTAGTACCTACTAGTCTACTACAACACAAGATAGAATTTTACAAAGAAATGGAGAACCGCATACAGTGTATACCTAATTAATACTATTGTAAACATTTAATTGAAGAAAGCGGCTCCTAACTGTGTGCTTAAATACACCAACCTAGTAATTCGTTAAAATTTGGGTCGGCAAACTGGCGGGGCGGGTTAAATATATGCGGGTTAAAAACGAGTAATGTAAAAACGGATAAATTATCTGATTCGACACATATTTAATACGGATAGAAAATGAGTTAATCGATGGATAATATGAATATCCATGGTTTCTTGATTATGATCATTGTTGGGAAAATTCTTAGTCTGTCAAACTTGAGAAACCCCAATTTAAATTTTTACAAATATAAAAGTTAAACTCATTGGTTATTCATTTTTAAGTGGACAATAAGGATCTTATCCATATTTGATATATTTTTAAAAAGTTCATTATCCAACCCAATTTTTAGTGGACAATATGGATGAATTATTTTGCCAACACTAGGTAAAACTAATAAATCATTTAATTAAAAAAAGAGTCTCCAAATCTGCGTTCTTAAACACACGTACCTAGTTATTGTTAAAGCTAATAACTGAATTCTTAACCATATACTCAATTATCGCCAGATATGAAGCAGGCAGCAGCTTATTAGCTCATGTGATTGCTATTAAAAAAAAAAAGATTTAGCTCATGTGGAACCTGACCAAAATATTCAAATAACATTTCTTTTTTACTTTATAGATAATTGTGGATCTCCAAAAAATATGATGCATAGCATGCTATCAAATTATTTTTCTTTGTGTCCCAATATTTCCAACCATAAAAAATAGTAGTATTAGAAAAAGTAAATATTGTTGAATCCAAATGGAAAAGCAAAAAGAAATAAAACAAACAGGCTTAGGCCGATCTCCGCCAAGCAATCAGGAAACAAGTAGAGTAAAAGAGAAGGTTGTCTTATAAAGAATGTAGCTGATTGAGGAGTTTTAATTTTTATACACAAAAAATAGATAATTGTCATTTCCTTAGGAAAATATCTAAATCAAAATTACTAAAACAAGAATTTCACCCTATTCAACATTTTGAAAGAGGAGAGGTCGAAAGGACAAAATATATTCTCTCTATTAATTTGGGAGAATAAGCACACACCAGGTCAACATGCTTGCATGGCCTTATTGAGGGTATAATTGTCATTACGTCTAGGCTTACTGGGAGTTTAATTGTCTTTGAGCAAAAGATTAACATAATAGGATTTCCTACATCCTCGCTCAGATGCCTGAGAGACGACCACGTGCTACTTTGAATTTTGGGTAAACAGTGGAAAATCAAAAGTTTTAGGATTTTTCTACTGAAAGCTTGATTCAACTCACGCTCTCTTTCATCTCTCTCTATTTTCATGGTGGTTCTTCGAATTTATCACTGTTGCTGATTTGCGTTTTATCTCTTGGCGAGTTCAGTTCATATTGTATTATTTCGAGTTTCCTTCTTTTGATTTTGTCATAGTTGTGATGGAGGTGACAGTTATGGCTGGCCACGGCCTGATTCGCCATGGACGGTGNGGCCACGGCCTGATTCGCTATGGACGGTCGTTTTGATAAATTGAAAATTATTTTGGAGAATAAAGTTATTTCTTTAATTTACTAAAAAACTAGAACAAACCCAGTTAGTATATAGTAGGTCGTCATCGAAATAGCCTTCTGTAAAGTTAGCGTGTCTTCTGCTTCCCCGTTTTTCTATTTGGCTTGAAAATCGGCGACTTTGTTAATGGGTCATTTGGGGTGTTTTTCGCTCTTGGGTTTACTGTTGATTTATGATTAGATTTATGGCATGCAATTGGTTCGTAATATCTGCGGCAACCCTGAAGTCAGGTTCTCCTTCTAAGGCTTCTACCCTCTTTTCAATCTTTAGACATCTTCGTTTGTTCCTTCTCTAATTTTGTGGTATATATGATTATCCCATGTCAGTTGGATACATTTAATTTTTTTGAAAAAGAAAATGAAGAGTATGATTGATTAATTTTCATTTTAAATCCAATATTTGTAATAAATTGGGTCCACCTGGATAGATGGGATATGAATATAAAAAATTAATCTTATCCGACATCCAAATAGCTTATAATTCTGACTTACTTGAGTGGTCAATTTGGGGATTCATAATTTAATTTTTTGTGTTTTAAGATTGATTATTTGTATTTATTGAGTGGCTTTTTAAACAAATACTAATACAGTGTTCGAGCCAAAGTTGCTGGGTTTAAATTAACCCATAAGTGATACATTAGATCCGCGCCCGATAAGTTTCTTAGACAATTTTCAACTATACAATAAATAGGGAAAGCCTCAAGAATTTAACTGATAGGACTTATAGAGCATCAATAACGTCATCTAAGCAATCAAAAGCACCCAACTTTAAGTTGTGTTGTACTACATTGCATCTTTCTGCCCGTGACAGAGTCTAGAATACTATGAAGGAGATTATAAAAAGTATGAATGTCACTCTCGAGATTACAACGTGCAGCCTAAATTAATTTTTGTCATAGTTGTTGATGGAGGTTAGAGTTATGGATGGCCACAAGTCGATTCGTCATGGATGATGGTTTTGATAAATTGAAAGTTGTTTTGGAGAATAATGTTATTTCTTTGATTTACTAAAAAGCTAGAACAAGTGCAGTTAGTATAGAGCCTTAACTGCATATAGAAAAAGAAGTTCAACATAGAGATTCTTTTTAGTCTATTTGGATGTGCTTCATCTTTCTATATGTTAATGCAACTGAAATGTGAATTAGGCAAATAAAAAATCTTAATGGGGCAGAACTCCAGATATTAGATGAAATATTTGATTGGAAAACCAGTTTGCTGATTCAAATGGAAAAAATTGTGAATGTATTAAAGTTGTCTGATGCAAGTAACTAATCTGTTTATGATGCTCTGCGATCAGACAATCACAATTGTATGCCATTTAATGACATATCAACTGATAAACTACTCGAGGTGTTCAAGAAGATGTTTGGACATCAAACTTCTGCCACGAAAAAGGAATGGCTGAAGCACCACATAACATTTGATTTGCAAAATCAAGACATGTGGTAGGATAACAATTAGCTGATCTGAAGGTATATCGTTGTTAGTATCATATGGTAATTTGCTCTGCTCTTTCTGCACTTTTGTTTTAATATATTAATCAATTATCTGAAGGACAATGATCATGGAATGCTATTTACAGTGCGAAAGGGAAGTGATTACTTCCTCCAATACAAGTACCATCAGAATGCATCAATTAAAAAGAGAAAAAAACAACTTCATGGTAGAGCTTGCGGACTTGGTCAAATGCAGCTTCCCTGTAGGTCATACAATTATTTAATTTACACACAATCTATGAAGTAGCTCTACATTCTTTGCATTACTTGTTTATTATTTTTCACATAACTGATAGGAATTTTGTTTTTGTAATAGCAACATAACATCTGAATTAGCCGACATTGATTGGGACAACCTTGGCTTTGGCTTTACGCCTACTGATTGTATGTATGTCATGAAATGTTCTGAAGGTGAAAACTTTTCTAAGGGTGAATTACATTGTTTCAGTAACATTGAGTTGAGCCCATCTGCTAAATTATTAAATTATGGACATGTTAGTTTTTACACTTTTGTATTATGATAGTATCTCATGAAACCTTTCTTATTCTTAAATATATTTCTTCTTTATTATTCATTTGAATGGTTACTGATTCAGCTCATTCGTCAGAGTCACCAAAAATGCTATTGGAAATATTAATAGGAATTGCTTGAAGGTTTAAAGGTATATCGAAAATATGACGGAAATATATTGTTGTTACTACCTGAGGAAAATGCAATGCACTTGAAGATGAGTGTTGAACGCACGTGTATGCCTTCACCGTCTGCTGAACAGTTTGTGGAAGCAGTAAAAGCCACTGTTTTATCACAAGAAAGATGGGTAATATGTTACTTCTCTTTAGTTAAAAATTATCTTACTGAGTGACCCATGCGCCCACTAAATCTTTTTTTCTTTTCTTATTGATTCCTCCTCCTGGAAAAAAAATGACTGTTTACATTGGTATTATTTACTGTCGATGATAAAGCTGTTGCATCAAGAAATGAACACGTGGAATTCTTTTGATAGATGGGAAATAATTCTCCTGCTAATCTACACTTTGTAAAGTTCTATCATTCTTAAAGTTCTTCTTTTCTTCTTTGCATTTTGCACTTTACACTTTGGTGGACTATTCTGGAAATTCCACGTGAGCTTGTGCCTGGGAGATAATGACACCAAGGAAAATTACATTTTTCACTAACAAAAAGATTTGGTACAGAAATTATTATTTTTAAATGTTCTTTCTTACTATGAAGAACTTTAAGGAACAATCATTCTTCTTACTGATCATAGAGTTTCCAATTTTGCACACCAGCCGGTATCAAGATGTGTCTGCTGCTATACATATGCCACTGACTCAGTGAATGACAACGGCCGCACAGGTTATTTTGCTAAGACTATTTGGAGGTATTATACTAGCCCTGTAGAATTTTATATAACCTTTTGTCAGCATGATTATTTTAGTGTTCAGTTATGTCTTTATTGGAAATAATGTAGAGCTGATTGTGAGACTTGCACTTTATTCAATTTGTTTAACTGAATAGCATCTTCTGCTTTACCAACCGCATTTCTTATGGTTTACACTCACTGTCTTTTTCACAATAGGAACCAGCAGTTAATCCTTTCCTTGCTGAATTTTCTTTAGAATCCACTCTGCGCCATGAACCTACATCAACTCCTGAAAATGATTGAGTGAAAAGATAAAAATAAAGTCAGCTTTGCGGTCATCCGAGTTTCGACAAAAGGTAACATCTTCCATTCTGTTGGACAATGCGAAAAATTATTGAAGAGATGTTCATCTTCGTGACTAATCATCTACCTTTTCTTGGCAGAGTTCTTTCAATACCGTGACTCTTAAAGACTTGATCACTCAAAGAAGGAGAATTGGATCTTTGAATGGACAACCATTAATTTATAAATGATATTACTTTATATCTATTTTACTAAAATAAGTTTACCTAATTATCATATTTTCCTACATGCAAGCTTTTATTCATACATTGTTGCTACTTAAAAACACTCCCATTAAATTGTACTTACGATGTCATTTCAAAATGGATCTATAAATATTAATATATAGGCGCGCACACACAATCACATAGAACATGTACTCATCATGGAGTACGAATCATGATCTTAAAGATCCTTGGGCCTTGGCTGATGATTTGTCTAGGAACATTCATGTCATTGGTGTATTCCTCCTACTCGATTGATGTTAGGAATTTCATTCTATCCTGTTTTGGCACACCGTTGATGATTGGGAGCTTCTTCCCTTACTCATTTGGAGTTTACATTCCAGTGGCACTTTGAAATATTCTTGCATATTCAAATTTTATACTGGTTACATGTGTTTGTTTAAGTGTATAAATGGAATGTGCAGTGTGCTTTCATTATTTTGTTCACTTTCCTTTGTGATTTAGTTTGCAGTCATTGAGTTTAATCTCTCCCTTTATGTCCAATTTGTTTTATCTTTTTTGTTGTTTCATAGCTCTTTCATTATCATTGATCACTTATGCATACCTGATTTTGCAGCTTCCTGATGGATTTTCAAACGGATATGACTAATCTGTCACGAATAAGGAATGGCTGAAGCACCACATAACATTTGATTTGCCAAATGAAGACATCTCGCAGGACAACATTTTCAGTGCAATTCGAAATGCTCTCTACATTCGAGTGAAAATGAAGGGGTTAAAGTCCGACCAGAAAGTCCTGAGGAGCTCCTTATAGAATCTACTGGCTTTGCAAGTGTATTTAATTACCGAAAAAAGCCAAGGGTTCAACACGTGGAAGAAGAGAACATATCCCGAATTCCTTCAAATTCTTATGTGAGGCACGAGTTGATTCTCCTGGTACTCTTTCGGACTATATATTTTGATAGTACTATATATTTTGATAGTAATTTTAAATTCTACCATCTTACACATATTTGTATCAGCAGATGTTTCTGCAAACCCATACGATATTTCTTTGTGGTCTTTTATTTCTCTTTTGTGGAGATATTATCACTGTACTTTTTACTTACAACAGTGTAGTTCTCTTCACGGGCTATCCCCACTAATATATATATAAAAGGCAAAGGAATAATATACAGTAGTGCATAAAGGAACATGGAAGAGTACTCCCGACATCCTAATTTATGTGGAAGTATTTGACTAGATGGGTGTTTGGACATAAGAATTGTAAAAATTCAAAAAAAGTGAATTTTGTTTTCAAGTGAAAATGATATTTGAAAATTAGAGTTGTATTTGGACATAAATATAATTTTGGGTTATTTTTAAATTTTTGTGAGTGATCTGAGTGAAAAATTCTAAAAAATAATTTTTTGGAGTTTTTCAAATTCGAAAAATTCTAAAATTCATCTTCAAGTAAAAATTGAAAATTTTATGGCTAAACATTGATTTCGACAAAAAATAAAAATTTTTCGAAAAAAGTGAAAAAAATTTCATGGCCGAGCGGGCTCTAAGCATGAAGTTTAAGAAAAAAAAAAAGAAATACTTTAGAAATTATGGTCTAAAATATATTATAGACATTTTTGTAGTTATAAATTATTTCATTAAGAGTTAAGTAGAAGTTTAAAATTAAAATATTTCTAAATATAAAAAATAATTTTTTTGAACAGACTAAAAATAAAAATATGCCATATAAAATGAGAGAGGGAGTAACTAATATCTCAAATCACGTGCGAGCTTGCAAAAATCTTATTGTTCAGAACACATATATTAATACAGTACAACACAAATACATGATAGGCAAGAGCGGTTTTAGCTCTTAAGCTGCGAATTTATTCTGACCCAATAGAATATCAATATATATATTGTATACGAACGAATCCGAGTTTGTCCTTCGTATAATTAGTCGAGATTGGAACGTGATGAACCAAGGGTCGTCATTGTAACAACGAGATCAGAAGTAAAGTCAGGTTATCGAGCTCAAGATACCGAGCTCGAGTCAAAATCAAGCTATGACATGAAGTAGTGTTATCGAACTCAAGAGTCAGAGACCAACCAACACTACAAGAAATAGGGGATACGACGACATTATATAAATGTCGTATTATGGTGCTTAAATGTCACAAATTTAATTGCCGACATTTAATTTACATTTGTCCTAAATATCGTAAATTTGAATGTCAGGGAATTTTTCGACATTTAATAAAAGTCGCAAATCTATTTGCGACATTTATTTACAACTTTTATACAAATGTCACTTGAATTTTCTGACATTTAAGGTAATGTTGGTAAAAGATTTACGACGTTTATTATAATCGTTAAGAAATGTCACATTTAATTTCAAACATTTAGGTTAATGTCAATAAAACATTTACGACATTCCTTTAGAACTTTATGAAATGTCATTAAATTATCTGACAATTTCCTGAAAATTTATAATAATCATTTATTGAGTTCATTATTCATGACACTAATAAATCATTTATTGAGTTCATTATTCATGACACTAATACTTATTCATACATTTGTAAATATCAAATATCATACACAGTGTACAAGCACAAATGATATGTAAAGTGAATGCTTTTAGTAATGCATCCAAAGAACAAAAGTAGTGATCGACTAATTCTACTCTGTACAAATTTGAACAATTTAAAAGATGTCAACACACAACTACACTAAGATCGTTCATAACTCAAATAATTCCCTTAACTTGCACAATAAATATAGCGACAACGATTCGGGGATCCATCTTTTCACAACTCAAGATTCTCTTGCCAGTAATTAAACTGACATCCTTCAAATGCTGCACAAAAAGTCCACATAAGAAAGAATTATAACAATATAATAAAAGAAAAAAGGTAAAAGTGTCTTGCATATGTTTTTCAACTACATTATTACTAGTAATCCGGATTGTAAACCGGGAAGAATTATTACAATAGTGCTTTGATCGTTAAAAGAATTCAAAGCTAAGAACTTTACCAGGAACCAGACAAACTATTGCAACTCAGTTTTGTGTAAGCTATTGCATTATGCTGCATCTGATACAGAAACAAAGAACATCAGTTAGAAGAAATTGCCCAAAGCAACAAAGAACGAGGAAGGGATAAACCAATACTTTTACAATATCATAACTATAGCCGATAAGATCCTTAAAGATTTAACTACTCTACTCCATAAAGTGTCTCAAAAAAGATAAGCTATAATTTATTAAGAGTTCATTTCTATAGTATTCAAAAAGGCCTCTCGGGAATGGATAAGCTAATTTGTTTTCTTCTAACTAATGAGGTGATAAGTAAATCTAATATTATTGATTTTAAATGGTAAAAAGTAGATCTGATCAAGAAGTTTTCATACACTCCGAGGTTACAATAATTCTTTAATAGTTACTAGTATGATACACAAGGCATCTGCAACCAAGGAGGAGCTAATCAAATAAAAAACTATTGATTACGAGTAAAATCAGATGTCATAAAGAATTTTTATATATTCTAATATTACCAAAATTCTTACACAATAAAACTCACAGCACCTACAGCAATTTTAACAGCCTTATAGGGGCATCATCCGATTATAAAAAGGTGTACCAGTTCTCTTTAATAACAATAAACTGAACCGTTCAAATTTTTATGGATCCGTTGTAAAAAATCCAAGGTTAAATGGTGTCTTAAAATTCACTCCAAGCCTACAGACAAGGTTGGTGAGAAAAATTAGGCTAACTGAAATTCTACAGCCAATTTTGCAAACCCGAACAATTACACTCATCTAACCTTATGGAACTATCCAATAGCAAGTCCGTAAATTCTTTAATTTTACAAAAAGCAACTAAAGAGGAAAGAGGGAAAATTTGATTAACTATTAGATTACTTTCGGAAGTAGTGAAAATTGAAATAAGCCTTACGAACAACAGCTTGAACAACACCAATCTGTAATGAAAAAGCCACAACAATTTAAACCCAAGTTACATGCATCTAAACCCTAGAACACACACCATTATTCACCCACCGACAGAGCCTATCATTCTAAATATCAAATATTCAACAATAGAAGTAATTAAAAAGAAAAACATATAAAAAACAAACCATTGAACGAATTATTTAGGTATATTCGGGTAAGATTGATAAATTGTAAAAAAAGAATATATAGGAGTGGCAGAAAAAGATATAGATATAAAAATTGCTATCGAGATAGAGAGAGAGTTCGGATTACCTCATGATGGTGGCCGGTGATGGTGGGGTAGAAGGGAAAGTACGACAATGGTTCGGAACAAACTGACGGCGTGGTGAGCAAAGGGAATTTTAGTGAGTAAAAACGAATTGCGGGGATTGAATTATTAGTAATCTTTTAGAGGGAATCAGGGGAATAACTTACGTTTTACCTTTTAAAAATTAATATCTTTTTAGTGGCTATTCCCTCCAAATGTTGACGGATATTATGACATTAAAACAAAAGGGTCACTAATTGCCATCTAATAAATGACTTTTAAGTTAACGGTCGCAATATTTTGTGACCTTTTTCTCCAAATATCATTGTTTTGTGAGAAAATTATACATTTTCTGACATTTATGTTAAATATTATTAAATAAATATCGTCGTATCCATGATTTCTTGTAGTGCAATACCGAGCTCGAGTCAATATCGAGCTCGAGATCCAGAGATCGACCGATACCGAGACCGACCAAGATCGAGCTAAGAGACAAAGAGCCGTTGTAGCCGCACCAGGGATAGAATCTCGGCGAGAATTAAGGAAAAATTAATCAACTAATCTATCATGAGATCCCCACTATGTATTTTTTATTATATCCAAAGTAGGATTCTTCCACTATATTAAGAGTGAGTATTATTTATGTAAAGGGGGAGATTGAACATCTAGAGAAGAAAACATTGATGCACTCACATTCTAAAGATTAGTACATTGATATATAGTTGAGATTATCCCCTTTTGAGCTTGGACATTGATTCATGTCGCTTGTTTATAAATCATTCTCTACTCAATTTGGTTTATATTTCGTTCCTTTTTTACAGTCAATATTCGATATATATTTCTACTTAAACTTTTCTAATTTGTACCAAGTCATATCACGTATCCTTAGAACTACGTATAAATTCAACTTTATCCGTTTTTCGGGTAAACAGTTTGGCGCCCACCGTGGGGCTAAGGGTAATAGTAATTATTTGGTACGAATCTCTGTGAAACACACTATTTTTATACTTGCTCTTGGAAATGCCTTTGATTCCATGCTGAAAATGATGAATTCTCAATTAATGGCCATACCTATCGACAACGAAGTTGGCCTTCAAAATGAGAACAACAACTTAACCCCCGGGGGTGAAAGGCCACTCGTCGATCCCGTTGGAGCTTGGGTCGAAGAGCCAATAGACGTTAATTCACATGTGGCCATCGAGGCAAACCAACGTTCCGACCCTGAAAATAGCATTCATGGTGGAATTCGATCTGCAGCTCGAAATACCCAAAACGCTAAGGAAAACGGAATCAGCTTGCGTATGATTTTCAAAATATTGCAAGCTCAACAAGTAGCAATAGCCTAGTTGTAGAGCCAAACCCAGGCACCGACCAGGCTCGAGCCCAGTCCACCCCAATAAGTCACCCACAAAACGGGGCCAGCTATAGTGAGGTCAAATGAGCAAGAATCGGGGACTAATCCCGAAATCGTTAAAATGTTCGAGGAACTGACAAAACGAATAGAGTCAGGAGAAAGGAGGAGTGAAGCAAACGATAAAAAAGTGGAAACTTATAATTCCAGGGTTGAAGCACCACCAATATTAAAGGGTTTGGATTCCAAAATATTCGTACAAAAGCCCTTCCCCCCGAGCGCGGCTCCAAAACCGATCCCCAAGAAGTTCCGCATGCCCGAAATTTCTAAATATAATGGAATGACCGACCCCAACGAACAAGTCACCTCTTACACCTATTCCATCAAAAGGGAACAATTTAGAAGACGACGAGATCGAATCCGTATTATTGAAATTTTTTGGTGAAACCCTGTCAAAAGGAGCAATGATATGGTATCATAATTTACCGTCTAACTCTATTGATTCTTTTGCTATACTTGTAGATTCTTTTGTAAAAGCACACATGGAATGAATGCTAAGAGAAACCAGGAAGTCGGACCTTTTCAAGGTAAGACAAAAAGATAACGAGATGTTGAGAGAATTCGTAACTCGTTTCCAAATGGAACGAATGGACCTACCACCAATCATGGGCGATTGGGTTGTTCAAGATTTCACTCAAGGTCTGAACGAACGAAGCTCGATAGCTTCACGACGGTTGAAGCAAAACCTGATCGAGTAACCAGCTATTACCTGGGCCTATGTTCACAATCGGTATCAATCGAAGATTAGAGTCGAAGATGACCAGTTGGGTTCTGGGTCCGTTATTAAAAGGGACATCAACATAGAACAAAGGTCGATCAGGGACCGATACCAAGACGTAACCTCATACAAAGTAATAAAATAAGTGATCGAGGCCAAGGGTCTTGGTGGCTAATGAACAAGAATAGGTTCGACAAGCATATTGGACCTAAGGAAGCACCGCGGTTATCAGAATTTAACTTCAACATCGATGCATCCACCATCGTGTCGGCTATCGGACACATCAAAGATACTAAATGGCCTCGACCTCTACAGACTGATCTAACCTAGAGGAATCCCAATCAAATGTGTGAATATCATGGCACTCATGGCCATAGAATGGAAGATTGCAGGCAATTGAGAGAGGAGGTAGCCCGGTTATTCAATAAAGGGCACCTTCGAGAATTTTTAAGTGACCGGGCCAAAAACCATTTCATAAACAGGGATTTCAGAAGACAAAAATTAACAAGAAGAGCCACAACACACCATCCACATGATCATCATTGGGATCGATATCCCCAGGGGTCGGTGCTTAAACGCATTAAGATGTCGATTGAAAGAGAGAAGCGATCTCGATCTCATGATTACAAACCTAAAGGAATCTTGTCCTTTAGTGATGAAGACGCATAAGGAATCATGCAACCCCATAACAATGCACTGGTAATATCTGTACTTATGAATAAAACTCAAGTTAAGTGTGTGCTAATTGATCCAGGTAGTTCAGCCAACATTATTAGATCGAAGGTCGTAGAGCAACTCGGTCTATAGGACCAGGTCGTGCCCGCAACCCTGGTTCTAAACGGATTCAATACGGCATGTGAAACTACTAAGGGCGAGATAATCCTGCCAATAAACATGGTCGGGACCATCCAAGAAACGAAGTTCCACGTGATCGGAGGCGACACTAGGTATAACACTATTTTTGGAAGGTAGTGGATCCACAATATGAGAGCTGTACCCTCGACCCTCTACCAGGTTCTGAAACTCCCAACATCGGAGGGAGTCAAAACGTTCTACGGAGAGCAACCGACAGCAAAAGAAATATTTTCCATCGATGAGGAGATTTTGATATCTACACTATCATCGACAAAGGGATCAAATTCGAAGGAGGAATAGGATACCAAATAGCAATCACAAACGTCAGCCTCAACCTAACTAGAGAATCAGAAGACTGACGAAGACGATGATTATGGGATCCCTCGATCATTTGTGGTCTCCGATAATACCGACGCTACCCAGTAACGGTCGAAGAACTGGAGAAAATCACGCTAGTCGGATATCTTCCCAAGCAAAAGGTATACCTGGGCATGGGGTTAGATCCCGAGCTCAGGAAAAAGCTTATTCAATTTCTTATAGCTAACATGAATTATTTCGCTTGGTCCCATCTCGACATAATAGGGATCCCACCGGAGATAGCCACTCATAGACTAAGCTTGGATCCAAAATTCCGTACGGTAAAGCAAAAAAAGAAGGCCACAATCCGAGGTCAAACATGTCTTCATCAAGGATAAGGTAACCAAACTTCTTAAAATACAATCCATTCGAGAAGTTAAATACGCCGAATGGCTAGCAAATGTGGTGGTGGTCCCTAAGAAAGGAAACAAACCTAGAATGTGTATAAATTATAAAGACTTTAACAAAGCATGCCCTAAATTTCCTTTGCCTAGCATCGATCATATGATCGATACCACAGCCAGCCACGAGACTCTCAGTTTTCTCGATGCCTACTCTGGGTACAACCAAATACAAATGAACCCGGAGGATCAAGAAAAGAGCTCGCTTGTCACTAAGTACGGTACCTATTGTTATAACGTAATGTCATTCGGTCTAAAACATGTTGGTGCAACTTATCAACGCCTAGTAAATCGAATGTTCAAAAACAAAATAGGAAAATCAATGGAAGTTTATATTGATAACATGTTAGTTAAGTCCCAGCGAGCAGAGGACCATTTAAAGCATTTTCAGGAAACTTTCGACGTACTAAAGAAGTACAATATGAAGCTCAACCCCGAAAATTGTGCATTCGGGGTTGGCTCGGGCAAGTTTCTTGGTTTCATGGTGTCCAACCGAGAAATCAAAATCAACCCTGATAAAATCAAAGCTATCGAGGATATCACAGTAGTAGATAATGTGAAGGCCATGCAAAGGTTAACGGGGAGAATAACCACTTTGGGACGATTCATTTCGAGATCCTCAGATAGGAGCCACCAATTTTTCTCACTGCATAAGAAGAGAAGAAACTTAGCATAGACTCCGAAATGCCAACACGCTTTGGGAGAACTAAAATGGTATTTATCGAGCCCGCCTCTGCTTCATACCCCGAAAGTGGACGAACAACTTACTTATACTTAGCTGTCTCAGAGATAGCGATAAGTGGAGTCCTGGTTCGAGAAGAACGAGGTACACAATTCCCTATTTATTATGCCAGTCGGAACTTAGGCGAGGCCGAAACTAGATATCTACACTTAGAAAAATTAGCGCTTGCTTTAATAAGCGCCTCTAGGAAATTAAAACCATATTTCTAATCTCATCTGATACATGTTGTAACAACTTATCCTCTTCGAAATATTTTGTGCAAACCCGAGCTTTAGGGTCGATTGTCCAAATGGGCCATAGAAATTGGTGGTTACGATATCGAGTATCGAACCCGAACCTCTATTAGGTCTCAAATCTTGGCAGACTTTGTGGATGACTTTTCGCCAACCCTCGTGCCTGATATTAAAAGAGAGCTACTTATAAAATCAGGTACCTCCTCGGGAGTCTAGATCCTTTTCACGGACGGTGCCTCAAACGCGAAGGGGTCCGGATTAGGCATTTTACTAAAACCACACACAGGTAATGTAACTAGACAGTCTATCAGAACTATGAAATTGACTAACAATGAGGCCGAGTATGAGGCCATGATTGCAGGTCTCGAACTAGCTAGAAGCTTGGGAGCAGAGATTATATAAGCTAAGTGTGATTCCCTCCTCGTGGTAAACCAAGTTAACGGGACTTTTGAAGTCCGAGGAAATCAAATGCAAAGGTACTTGGATAAATTACAGGTG